ACTACTAATATTGCTTCTTTACGAACTAGCTGCAAGGTTGTTTTATGATTTGTATTTAAAGCTATAAATGCATGTGTGCATTTCTTTCAAATTATGTGAAGCATTTACAGTTACGCCAACTGTTATATGCCCGATAATAGTATTGGAAATATAGAAATATTACAAATAAACAAAGAAATGTACAAATTATTTTAAAGAATATTGAAAAAACTGTACTGAATAGTAAACTGTTATACAAACTGTTATACGCTCGCGAAATTTTTTATGGCTGTTATACAAACTATTATACACACATTGTTTAGTAGCATCCAGAATATATACTTATAGTGTCTTATAAGAACGATGAGCGTGTTTACTTTAAATTTCTTCTATGTAAATTGCATTAGCTTTGTCCACAAATATCCAAATTGATAAGCCTTAAAGTTATTTATACGTTTTAATAATAAGACCCAAATTGCTTAGATACATATTTTTAATATTATTTAATGTGTAAATTGTTAGCAAAATGGTATGAAAAAACTGTTATACGAACTGTTAAACATAAAATTAAACTGTTATAGAAATTGTTTAAAACTTTTTTATCATCCGGAATACACATTTATAGCGTCTTACAAATGTTATACCGACAATTTAAAACTTTTTTGGCCACCGGAATTAAAAAACAGTGCAACTTAAAAATTTTTAATTATTGTAAGTTATATGAGTTTACCCACAAAAATTTTAGTTGCCAGGCTGTAAGGCGGTTTGTAAATTTAATATCTATTATCAAGCTTCAACTTGCTTAGCGACTCATTTGTGCCTATAATTAGTATTGACACTTTCATTATTTACTTTCTAGTTCCATCTAATTTCTATGGGCGAGCAGTGTTCTATAAATACATACGATCTTTTGTATACAACTTAATTCACACTATTGTCATAAATCTGTATTCAAACAGTCTCCCGTGCCTTTCAACTTTTTACATAAACTACATTTATATAAATATCAACACTCCTTCCTGTAGAGATCACTAAACCACCCACAAATAAAAAATGCATATTTATGTATAATAGTTCAGCGATCTCTACTCAGAATCAACATATGAACTGGAGTGATCAAAGCAGTGTATGATCAGCACTGATCGATTGCCGTCGCTACATGATAAATAACCAAATTTTTGCATTTTATTGCATTACTTTAACGATCAGTGAACGCCGAACGTGTATATATTTATATGTATCGGGCCGCGCTCTGTGCAAAGATCGTGCAATTGGTGATCGGCGCACATTTTTTCTACACCGCTTAGACGACAATAAACAATTTGCGCGCAGTTTCGCTTTTCTATACGTGTTTTTTCTTCTCTGAATACTTTTCAATTTAAATATTTTTCTTGTGCTGAAATGTATACAGAGAGCCGCGATCAGCAGAGCGTAGAGTACGAAGCAATATAGATATATAGAGCACGCGCTGCGTAGAGTGTAGGAGCGAGGGGGGCCTGGAAAAAGCGATAACGAGCAAAGATATGCACAAACACCGATAAAGCAAGCGCGCGAGCGCGAGAGAGCGCATGGTGAGGCTAGGCGCACACAGTAATTTGGAGCAACGCTAACTCAATTTGATTGATAGCTGGCAAAGCAATGCAAGGCAAGGCGAATCGTGTCTGTTTAGGCAGCGGCACGTTGCAGGTGGGAGCGTAGGCCTTGCGCCGCGGCCGGTGCACTGTGTGTGCCGAAATGCGCGCATTATCATTACAGGGGGGGCAGGAGGCGCGTGCGCTGAGTAATTGCCAGCGAATAGCTTGCATGCATAAATTGTTCTTACTTAATTATTTATTTGTTTAATATTTATTTGTGTTTATAAATTCTTAGTACTCATTTTGCCTTTGTGTATGCAAAGCAGATGCGAAGATTTTGTGTGTGTGTGCTTTTTTTTAAGTATTATGCTCTTTGCTTGGCTTGCGGTTGTGCTTGTTGCTGACTGAATTGTGTACTTTCGTTCAAAAGGTAGTATTTCGGGGACTTTTTGGCGGAAAAATATTTTTTTTGTAATAAGTATAATTTAGGTTACGAAGAAGAAGAATAAGCACGAATTAGTTTTAAATAAATATTTTTTATTGTAAAAAATTATAAAAGATTAAATAGAAAATAAAAAAAAGAATTACAATTACATATAAACTTTTCCATTCGAGGTTCCCCAATTTTGTTCTTAAAGAAAAACAAAGAAAATTAAAATTTAGTGGGAAATGTTTATTAGCTTTCAAAAGATCATTCTATGGCATCTGTTTTTTTTTTTTTTGACTTTCAAATGTTGGCTGCGCTCATGGTGTGATAACGATCGCCATTGACTTGCGTTTTCACCGGCATAATTTTTGAAGAAATATGGACCGATGATTCAACTGAACGTCAAATCACACCAAACATACTTATTTATATACCCATTGGACCAGAAGTGGGCCTCATCGTTGAACAAAAACGAAAACGTCGGATCTTCTGGGAACTTTTCAACTTTTCATAGATCGATGCGAAGTAGCTTGGAAAGGTCGAGTGGCTTCAGTTCTTGCACATTGCTGATTTTGTACGCTTTCAATTTAAGATTTGGACGTAAAATGCGTACAGTCGTTCCACAAGTCAATCCAAGTTGCTGCGAAAGGCAACGAATCGAATCTCGACGCTCTCCGTGTACACTCTCAGCTACGGCTGTTATGTTTTCTTCACTGCGTTCTGAACGGTCGAAAATTATCCTTCTAGGTCTCAAGATGGTTGATGGTGTGGCGAATAGAACGCCCAGTCGATTATGTTGACCATAAGTTGAGCGAAGCGCGCGAAACACATTCTTTAGAGAACGTGACTTTTCATAATAAAATTGAACGATTGGGAAAGGTTGTTCTGGCAAAAAAATAATTTCATTCAAAAAATTTAAGCATTAATACCTGATCAACTTTTGTTTAACGAAAGAGGGTTTGGATTTCTTTTCAACAGATTTACAATTCTTTCTAACACTATGCGCTCACATAAGAACAAACAAAAAAATTTCCTTAACTTTATAATTAAAACCCGCAATATTTACATTACTTCCGAAGTAATCAAACAAGAAAATATTTTCTCGCTGTTAAAAATACTGAGAGTTTCTATATTGCTTAGGGAAAACACGCCAAGATAACTTAGTTGTGCAAGAATAATAGCAACAACAACTAGTTAAAGTGATAGCAACAACAGCAAAAATAATATGAACAACAACACCAAAAATATAACAAACAAAAACAACATTAGTAAGTAAAATCACCAAACGACAGCAAACAATGTCTGTGTGTAATGAGATTAAGTGGAGCAAAATTTCAATAGCAAAAAAAAAAACAACAACAAAAACAGAGGCGGTGTAGTGAAACAAGAAATTTTAATTTATTTAGCAAAAAAAGTTTTATATGTATGCATGTATATGCATATACGAAAGAGTTTGCTTTTTGCAAGCAGCCGAAAGTGTCAACAACAACAAATTTCAATATACATATTACTCTATATAATATATAATATATAATATGTAATATATAATATATACTACATACGTACATATGTATGTTTGTATGTTCGTGATAAAACTGAAAAAAGTGTAACAACTTCAAAGGCGATAGCGATATGAGCGAGAGTAGCGCAGCGTAATAAAACAAGCAATTTAAAGCAACAACAACAAACCAAACAATTACGTCTACGAAATGACTGTTATGTGCAGTGGCGTGCGGGCAGAGGAAACATAGTTTAGGGTCGAGAAATGATAGAAAATTTAATAGAAGACGTATATGGAAGGGACAGTAAAGAATTTGCTGTTAAAATAATCACGATTTCAATCAAAAATTGTTTGGAGAAAAATAGACATTTTTTTCTTTGAAGGTGCAAGCTTCGTCAAGTTTTGTATAAAACGGCAAAAAAGATGAAAAAAGTCTTAGACACGATTATGAACTGATATAAAATTGTTATACTGCTATAAAAAGTGTTATGCTGTTATAAAAACTGTAATACTGTTTTATTTTTTTTTTTTTTTGCATAAGCTGTAAATAATGCATTGGTATTAAAAACTGACATTGGTAAAAAATATCTAATAGCATCCATTATTTCGAAACCAATATAAGAGTATTATGAAAGCGTTATGAAAAAACTTACTTAAATGTTTTTTAATGCTTCTAGATTACGTTTGAGCATAAAGGGCTAACAAAATAACAAAAATATAACTTTAGAGCACTATAAAACACTGTTATAAACTCTTATAAAAGTGTTGTTTCCTGTATTTATAAAACTCTATAATAGAGCTAATGCTATTGAAATGAACTAATTAATGTAAAATTATATATAGACCTGTTATATTGATAGAAAAGTTAAGAAATCGTTATGAGAAACTTCTTTGAACATCTGCGTATCATTAAAAAATTATTTCACAACTCATTTTATGAAAAAACTAAATTTCCTGTAGTAATCAAGACTTTTTTCTAAACTGTTATACCGCTGTTTTTGTGTCTAGACATGACCTTTTATACAGATAATTAATATAAAAATTACTTTATGTTACATAAAGCAAAAAAAATCAAAATTATACGTTTTATAACTGTTATAAAACCCACATATTAACTTAATTAACCTTGTTAAAATGCTTTAAATTTGCATAAAATGTGTTTTTATGTTATATATAATTAAAAAGCATGTTAAAATAAAATTTCATAACTGTTATACAAACTGTTATACCAAATATATCGTAGAGAATTCTAATTAAATGCATTTAATTTGCATAAAAATGCAATTATTAACAGTTTTTTAATTAAAAGTTTGTCCCCTTCAAACATCGCCACCACTGTCTTGACCAAATACTTGTGGTCGCTAAACATTCAGCTTTTCGTCATCGAACGCGGAAAATTTATCAAGATTCAGCAACCGCGTGGCTGACTATATACGCGCATTACGCTTTTGATATGTATTTAAAGTTGTATGCCAATTACTATTTTTATTACTAATACAGTTTACCATAATATTTGCAGCTTTACATCACACTACGGCAACAAGACGGAGACACGCAAGCAATTGAATTAATAAAAGTGCAGCTAATTGAAGTGCAAAATAGTAGCGGCGGCAAGTGAATAAGTGAGTAATAAATAAGTGGCTGATAAGCAAACAAAAATATTAAAAATCCCACCAAAGAATGATATAATTAAAAGTAAAAGTTGTGGAAAACCTGTAAATATTGGAAATCACATGAAAGTATTAACAGTGGAAATTAGCTAAAGTTCACAAATATTTTACATGATTTAAAAATTTGCATTAAAAAAATACTAAAAATTAAAAATAATTATTTATAATTAAATAAATTAAAAATTCTTTAAAAAAAAATATACTAAAAAATTAAGTTTACTTAGAGTCGTTTGCGTACTTTGCACGTGTGCGTTGGTAACGCCGCCTCAAAGTCTCCAATTGTTGTTGTTTGGTCGGTAATTTGCAGCGCCTACGGCTGAATCGACAGCTGATGATGACAACCACAGCAACAACAACCAATTTAATATAATTGCAATAAAAAGTAATGAAGAATACGCAGAATTAACAACGCAAGGTGTTAATAAAGTATTTTAAAGTGGAGTCTAAGGTTAATGATAAAAATAAAACGTGTAGCAAACCTCGAAACAAGTGTGGTGAAGTGAACAAAATTAAATAGAAAACGACAAGAAGAAGCAGCAACGCGTTTCGGCGTAGATAAGAAGGTGAGTAAGTCAATTATAAAAATTGTTTAACGAAAGCATGAATTTTTAAGAAGCTAATACTCTCAGATCGTTAGGAATACGCTTTATGGGGTTTTGGCGCAGATATTTGCTGGTTTTGTTAGGAATAAAAATTTACTTTTATACCAGAGTAGAGCCCTGTAGTATTGGCGACAACTAGTATGTTAATTTTAATATGCTAAAGTCTATGGATTCTCAAAGATATGAATATTAGTGACTTTCACCTATCTGTCTAAACATTTGTATCACATCACAAAAGCGTTATAAAAACTGTTATATAGACCTTGAAACACAGTATTTTATAATATAAATGCTTTATATGAACCCAATTTTATATTAGAACATTTGTCGATAAATGCTTATAAACTGTTATACTGACAAAATAACTGTTATACAAAACGTGGTAATAAATATTTGCGTAAAAATAATATCGAAATCGCTTTTTTAACTTTTTTAAAACTGTTATACTTTTATAAAAAGTGTTATACTCCTATACTTATATCAAATATTGTCAGAAGTGAATTAAAATTAACGATGGATTGAATGAAGTACTACGAGAAAATTAGATATTATTAGATTGCCTAGTTCCTAAGGCAAAAAATTACAGCAAAAGGTTTGAGAACTACATGTAATATATCGACCCAAATTATAAAGTTGGTCTGCAAACCTAGGCTAACAAATTTCCATAAATATGGAGGTTTAATTATTTGAAAGTTTTTAGAAGGAAAAAGTAAACTTAAAGTCATTAAGGTGTAGTTATAGTAGAGTTCACTAATTTTTGAAGTAGAAAACGAAATATTTTTCTTTTAATGGGTCTCAAAAAACTACCGAAGACTGCTACTAAATATGAGCAAGAAAATCAGACAGAATTTAGATCTATAGTAAAAAGCGAATATTGTAAACTTTGTGCTTTTTATTAGAGTATTTGAGCTTTTACATGAATTTTTCATAATACCAAACTTTGTACGATATTTTAGAGACTTTTGTGAACTTTCATGCGTGCTGGCTCAATTTAGGAAACTTTTTTGAAAACATTTCACCTTTTTCACACTATAATTTTCTCTGTGAGCGTTTATTAGAAACTGCTGAGCTTTTTATGAGAATTCAGCTTTCACCGAAATGCTTTCTAACTTCTAAAGCTTCAAAGGGTTTTTTTACAAAGCTTTTGAGCTTTCACTTCAGCTTCTTTGAAATCACTTTTACATTAGAAGCTTCTGCTTGCGTCTGAAGAGTAATTTTTTTCATATATATTTCTTTTAAATTTTATCAGATTTTTTTACAATATAATGTTGTCTGTGAGCCTTAATTAGAAATCACTGAACTTTTTCTGAGAATTGGAGCTTTCATTAAAATGTTTTCTCACTACTTAAGCTTCATAGAGCTTTTTTACAGAGCTTTTGAGCTTTCATTTCAGCTTCTCATTCAAAGCTTTCGCTAGCATCTCCTGAGTAACCTTTTTTTGGAATATTTTATTTTAAATTGAGTGTACGGATTTCTACATCGGATTAGAATAGCTTTCAGTTGCAGTTGCCAACAAAAAAAAAATACACGGATTATCCACTTATATAGCATCTGTGGCGTCTTCTTTGAAAAGCAGTACAGAAACAAACCCTAAATGATTGAGTTCTTGACTATGACTCTATATGGAACAGTTTTGAGGTTTTGAACTTTCAGTGAAATTTTTTGAGGTTAAGAATATTAGGCACAACATTTTCTCAGATACAGTAATGTTGTCTTTTTATCAAGTGTAGCGTGATTTTTGTAATTGACCTGTATACGATATCTTTCCTGTAGCTTAAAACTTTTAAAATTTGTTAAAACGCCTAAAAATATACTACTGCAACTGTCAGGAGCTGTTGTTGTGGAGATTCGTTGTTGAAAAAATCTTCAATTTCAATTTGAAAAATGCTATGTTTACACAAACTTAGTTTATTGTTTATTTACACGCTACTTTTATGCAAACAATGTCTATGAAAATGATAAAAAAACAAACAAGACAAATAAACTAATAAAAACAAATGGTAGGAGGATCGTGTGGCGCAGAAGTCTAAAACAACAAACTGTCAACTAAAACCAGCTAAAAAAGGAAAAACACCTCAAGCTAACTGACGGAATGTTGAAACAAAACATACTGACACCGACACACACATAAAAAACTACAAAGCTGCTTTAAGTGGCTGCGTGAGTGTAGTGCTCGCGTGAGTCAGTAAATTGATGAATGAGTGCCTACGAAATGTCTTCGGCCATAGGCAATATGAGCGCAACTGTCAGCGTTACTTTGCCGCTTTGATGGCTGCGCTGACATTTGCTGAATGGTGACGTTTGGCAGCAAATTGTTTTACATTTGCTTGTTAGCTATTACGGTGATTTTTGGATTTATTATTATTATTTTTTGTTTTTAATTTTACACTTATTTGATTTTTTGTTTTATTTGGTAACTTTTTTTAAATTTTATTATAATTTTTGTATTTTTTTTATATACTACTTTCTATTTTTTGTCATTTATTTATTTGTTTTATTTTTATTTTTTGTATATTTTTGATTTTCATCTTATTTTGTTTTACAAGTTGACTTTACGCTTCTTGTTGTTAAACGCCACGTTGACGGACGTTCGCGTAGATGAGCCTGACAGCAGATGGCCAAGTGAAATGACATTAAATAAAATGCTACATCCATGCCAACAAATTTGCAAAGCAAACGGTCAATGTGCAAAATATTTAGTACAGAGAAATAAAACAAAATGTTTGAGTGGAATATTTGAGGAATTCCAAGAAATGTGCGTTAGACACATTACATGAATATTGCAACAACGAAAATTATAAAAATAAAAAACAGAATAAAAAAAACAAAATTTAACAGAGAAATAGAATTAATTTAAATAAAAAT